GGAAAGGAATGCAAGTGGGATGGGAAAGGCAGCTGGAGGAGAGAGACTGGGCATGTAGCGACATATCCTGGGCAGAGCTGCAATGGGGATCACACACCCTGCATGGGGCAGGCAGGAGACAGAGAGGGAGATCTGAGCGATAGGTGATCAGAGGGAGCATGTGGCATCTAATTGCTTCCACCCTTTAAAAGCCAAGGAACCATCTTGGAGCAAGAGCAGGGTGAACTCTTTGGCCAGGCGGACCAGCCTCCTCTGGAGAAGGGATCCTGCATGCTGGGGCTGCGATTAGAGGTGCTGGCAATCCACCCAGGCAATGCCCTCTGGGGCAGTGAAGGGCACTGTGATTCCCCGGGGGGCTGCCAGCCATGACACCCGAAAAGGTGCTGAAGGAGGGGCTGGTGGAGAAGCGCAGTGGGGGGCTGCTGCAGCTCTGGAAGAGAAAGCGCTGCCTCCTGACCGAGGAGGGGCTGCGGCTCTCTGAGCCCAAGGGCTCGCGCTGCAAGGAGCTGAGCTTCGCCCGCATGAAGGCGGTGGAGTGCGTGGAGTGGAAGGAGCGGCACGTCTACTTCACGGTGGTGATGGAGGACGGGGGCGAGATTGACTTCCGCTGCCCCCAGGAGGACCCGGGCTGGAACGCGGAGATCACCATGGGCCTCGTCCGCTTCAAGAACCAGCAGGCCATCCAGATGGTCCGGGCCAGACACAACTGCAGAGCAGGTAACGTGGGCTTGCCAGGGTCCTATGCTGAGGTGAGGGGCACAGGGTGAGAACCCGTGAGCCAGGTGGATAGAGAGGGCAGAAGAGGGTGGGGGCATGATCCCTGCCATGGGCACCCATGGATCAGTATTCACTCCCCCACCCATGGCTGCTGGGTGAATCTAGCAAAGGAAAGTGCTCAGAGCACTTCACTTCATTGCCTTGACTTGCATCCCCCCAGGAATTACGCTTTCCTGCATAATGATTCAATGCAACCCACAAGGGCCCAGTCCAAGCCACATCCCCTTCTAGGGCATGCTGTGCTGCAGGATAATCACCGACTACAGCTGCCACCTGCTGCTCCTTCAGTTCAAGCAGGAGATGCCGGGCAAGGTTCTGCACTCCGGCTGGGGCAGGGCAGCGTTTCCGATGCTTTTACCTGTCCTCCAGCATGGCTGCTGTCAAGCCAAATTTCTGCCAAGTCTCCTATTTCCCCTCCTTTTCCTTTAATGGCCCCTGATTTCCTGGGAGCCTCTGACCACAGCCTGCTCCTTCTTTAAGGGCCTGTGCCATGTGTTTAAATAAGGCCAGCTGGGGTTTGACCTCTCCAAGGATTTCTTGCCTCAGTGCTGTGGCAGCCTGTCCTGGCAGGAGGGTCCCTCCATGGTGCTATTGCTTCTGGAGGGGAGATGGGGGTGGGCACAAAATGTGGGTGTCTGTCCTGATCTCACCGGGCTTCTGCAGTGTTTGCTCATGGGCAGACAAACTTTCCCTGCGCTCATCCACCCCCTACTCACTGTACCAGGCAACTCATGTTCACATGTGACTGCAGCCCACGGCATGACTCCATGTCCCTGGGTGACCCATCCCTGCTGGTCGATGGGCCTGTGGCAGGCCCTTTCAATGCCACGGTGCACTGAGCTCCCCACTCCCAGTTCGGACCAGCTGCCCATCTCTTGGGTACATGAGCAAGTGCCTGGAAACCCCAGAGGTCTTGTCTGGAGCAGGCCCAAGGTGTGGGGGTTGGAGAGCAGAGGGATAGGGGGCAGCAGGCTCCAGCACTTCCACCGGACAGCTAACCGATTCCCGTGACACTGCTTGTGCTCCCCTGATCTTTGAGGCCCGGGCTATGGAGCTGGTCTCTCAGCCTGGAAAGTAGGAAAAGGGCTGCACACATCTGTGGGCCCACATGATATCAAAGCATCCCCGGTATGAGAGTGCATTTCCCAGCATACCGTGGGCCTTGGGATGTGGCAGGCGGTGACCACAATGCTGCTACTGTCACAGCGCTCTGTGATGCAGGAGCTAGGAAATGTCCATGGGATCTTCAGTGCTTCCTTTGCCTGGGGGGATACTAGGTCCCCTGGGTCCGGTTCTGCTACTGTCCCCCTGCACATGGGGCCACCTTTGTTCCCCTGCTGTTCTGGGGACTGGCCCTGACCAGGAATAACTCAAACTTCCTTTTTCCTTTTCTTTTTGAAATTCTGTTTCTCGGGCTACGTCAGCCAAATCAGGTCTGAATCCTGTCAACCGAGCAGATCTCAGTTGTTCAAGTCCATGCAGTGCTACCACCGACAAGTATCCTCTCTCCCAGGCTTTTCAGCCTGGGGCTTTGGATACTCCCAAGTCCATGGCAGACACCCTATGTGCAAGCCCCAAGCCCAGAGGTCTTAGAGTTCAGATACCCCCTAGTCTCACTTGCCCCTGTCCAAAAGGCTGACGGAGCAAGCTAAAGGGAAAAGCCGAGAGCAATCCCCCGTCATCATGAATTGCGTAGCTGAGATCCTCACCTTAGAGGCATTGTAGACTCTCGCAGGGGGCAGCCTGCCCACAGTGCAAGGGACAGGTCTTCACCCTCTACCTACATCGAGTCATTCCAGGCTGAGAAGAAGGAGATCTCCCCTGCTAGCTCAGTAAAAACACCTGGACCGAAACCATCATCATGGTATCTCCCCTGCCAGGGATAACTCAAACCTGTAGATTCTGCCCTGGCCTTTGAAATATTGCTGTGTGACTCGCTCTCAGCTCCCTCGTCCTCCGAATGCCCTCCCAGCCCAGGTATATCTGCACACAGGTCGCCAGGGTCTTGCCTGTCTATTCTAGGTCTGTGCTGGGCCCCTTGCTAGCTGCCAGCCCCTCTTCCCGTGCTGGGCAGTCTCCTTCACTAACTTGTGCTTTATCTTTGGCAGCATTCCAGTATGACACAGGCCCAGACTGCCATGCCACGGACGTGGAGGGACCAAACAGCAGTACAGGGATGGCTGTCAGTTCCCCAGCCAACAAGGAGAATGGGATCTCTGGCTGCAAGTGACAGCAGGGTCTGGCTGATACTGTTGTGCATAGAGAGGGACAGTGGCATTTTAGGGCTGAAGGCCCAAGGAGCCCGGAGCACACGTGCCACAGCACTGGCCCCTGGGACCAACCTCCTCCCATGCTGTACTGCTCCATTTTCCAAGGGCCTGGGTTAGTGGCTGATGCACATTCTGGACCCCTTGGCCATGACCCCGGGATCCAGTGAAATACGCAGCTGCCTTTTTGCTGAGCTAATAACAATGGCATTACAGCTTGGCACAGGCCTACAGGTTGACTGACCACTTGAGGGCTTGCTGGAGACACAGGAAAGGGGTCCGCTGGGGGATCAGAGCCAAACACGACCACAAAATCCCGATCAGGATTGTTCCATCTGGCATAAGGCTAGTATGGATTCACTGGGGCTGAGGGCTGGGTTGGGAACCTGTCCCCCAGCCCAGCGCTGCTGTCGTTGCACTTGGCTCACAGGCCCTGGTGTCAGACTTTCGCTCATGTCGGGATGTGTCATCTTCATTGATAACAGTTCGGGACAGTGCCCATACAGGTGCCTTTCCTCTGCAAAAGACAGCATCCCACTCCCTGCACTCTGTACTGCAGCCCATTTCTCACTGTGCAGCCCTTCCTGCTGCACAGCGCTTTGCTTTGTCATTTTGTGCAAGCCTGTGCTGAACAAAACAGAGAAGTAAAGTTTCTGCAGAGAGGACAGGCAAGCTTGGTGTGGTGAGATGCTGTGACATCCTCCCATGCACCCAGCTCTGCTTGTGCCCCTCAGACTCAACCTACAGCCCCTTTATGTCCTGCATCCCGGTTCCCCATATGTCCTGCTCTGCTGATGCCCTCCAGCTATGTCAGGAAGGTCCATCCAAGCCTACTGCATTAGTGTGGTTAAAGTCCACCAGCTTTTCAGTCAATGGCACGCAGGAGTGATGTGACTGGCAGTACGTCCAGCTGTC